TGAATGCAATGAATCAATTTGATCTACTTGATACTGAATGTTTAGAAATTTTATAGGTCTATTTGGGATTACATTTAGGTTTACAAATCAATAACAATGAAAGAAACAACTTCACTACAAAAAAAAAAACTGTATTATCTACAACAAAAATTTGTATGTAATGGTAAAAATCCGTAGATAATGTCATTTTACATACGAATTTTCTATGGAAAAAAATCCGTAAGTAATATGGTAGTAGATAGTTTACTTACGAAATTACTGTCCGTAGATAATGTCATCTGTGGGTAATTATCTACGGATTGTATCCGTAGGTAATTACCTACGGATTACAATCAGTAGGTAATTACCCGCGGTAGATTATAATCCATAGGTAATGTACACATTCAAATTTACCTACGAACTATAATCCATAGGTAAATCATTAGGTAAATTTTAAAAAATTTCACCTCATCATCCACTGATTTAACTAAATTTTACATGTTACATGCATATTACACACAAAGTATTTAGATATCAAATTTAACAACAATATTACATAATATTTGTTAGTATCGCACAGCGGAATGTTTGCATGAAAAATAAAAACCAAGACGGGGTGAATTGGTTTCTTATAAAAATTATCTCTTTGAAAAACTTTTCGCAATATTTTACCGATTAAAAATACCTGTAAAGTAAAGAGATAAGGGAAAGAAAATTACACAAGTAATTTATACTGGTTCAAATAAAAAGACTCTACGTCCAATTGTTAATCACTGCAAAAAAGGATTAACTCAGTCACTAAAATAATCGTTCAAACAAATAACAGATTACAAATAATAAGGATTAAAAAACACCTCTCTTGAGTCACACAAAAGATGAACACCTCCTTTGAAGCTACAAAGGATGAAGACAAGTTTCCTAGAGACGGCACAACACTCAATCCACTAAGAATCCCACTCAATGATTCTTATCGTTTCTAGTCCACACTAGGTTTTCAAAGTCCCTTTTTCTTTCATACTCAAAATTCTCCCAACAATCACAACTCTTAACTTTTCTGAGTATAAAAAAGGTTTGTCATCTTGTAAAGAACATGAGAGTTATTTAAATAGAGTTTTAGGGTTTTCAATTTTGGGGATTTTCAAAAATTAGGTTAGAATTTGAAATTCAAATTCATAACTGACACAAATAATCGATTATCATAAGTGATAATCGATTATCACACAGCCAGATATAGGAAAAACAAATTTTACACGAACCAATTTCAAATTTGAACCCTTAACAACCAGAGATAATCGATTATCAATAGGTGATAATCGATTATTCCAGTGTGTCTTTCAAAAAACTTGAGATTTAAACAAGATAATCGATTATCCTCAGTAATAATAAATTATTCGAATATGTCCCTAATAAAAATAAAGTTTTTGTGGACAAACTAAATACTGACTATCATGAACTCTATTTTTATAGACTTAAGAAGACAAAACAGAATTATTACAAATAATTTCAACTGAATATAAATATTCTAATCTTGAAGTCATTTGTTCTTGAATCATCATCAAAATTTTTAGTCATCATATCCTTGTATTTTCAATAATATTGATATGTACAAATATCAAACACAACTCATAATATTAGCATGCATCAAATAGTCATTCAAATATCTAAGAACATATAAATCCAAAGAAGTATTGTAATAAATATTATGACAATATTGAGTATCTTAATAATTTGAGTAATGTCCTTGTTCATTTTGAGGCTGTTCTACAATAGCTGATTGTTGTTGATGTTGTGACTGTTGTTGTTGTTGTTGCTCTTGTTGCGCCTGTGATTATTGTTGCTCTTGTTGTTGTTGTGATCCTTGTTAGGAAGGTTGTTGTTGTTGAAATGCTTGTCGGGCATCAGGTGGAAGAAAAGGAAGGACAACACTGACAAGTGTTTGTAATTGGCAGCTCAATCTTTCATTATCCTCCCTATAACTAAGCATTTGTTCCTTTAATTGCGTAATCTCACGAGAATAAGTAGATCCTGAATATGAGAGGGTATCTCCAGACCTAAAATTATGGACAAGTTCTCCAACACCGTATATCCGACCTTTTTTGTTGCCACCTGCAGCAAGAAACCAACTTTCAATCCTTATTCTCTCCTCCTCTATAGGATCTAATGGATATGACTCAGTTTCAGTAACATAGGATGCTGCCTCAGATCTAGTCTGAGAGTATCTTCTCTGAAATTCTTTCTATTAACATACAAATAAAAATTATGCATTGTATACAACACATCCATCATAACATGTAACAGAGTAATAAAGTAATATTAAATAAGTTCACAACTCACATGAGTTTTTCTAGACCTTACATCAATAAATTCACCATTAACCTTTCGTATGAGTCTGTTTGAACACCTCATCATTATGTGCAGGACGACCCAACTCCTTTTCCTGCAAAAAAATTTAATTAATAACATATCATGAATAAATGAAAGAAAGAAACTTTTGTTATAATTGCATATTTACCATACGAATGACATGCGTGTGCATACTAATAGAACCACCTGTGTGTAAACTACCACCTGTCTCAGAAGCTCGATTCTTCTGAGCTTGTGCACACTTTGCACGATAATCAATTGAGTTCTACTTGTTCAACAAAGCATTTCACACATCATCAAACATCCAACAAGGCTTCTTTCCTGCCCTTCTAGCATCTTTGAACATTTCAGATAGCCTATGTGAGGCCTTTGAGTGAAAATTCTTTCGAATCATGTCCTCATCTTTAGGTCTCCAGGTGACCTTTCTCTTTGCAAATGATTGACACAAACAAACAAATAATAATAATTGTGCCAATGAATGTAAGTAATACAAATAATTCATCAGCCTAAATATAAGAAAACTTATTTTAAACCGTTGAAAGGATGCCTCTTTTTCAATATCGGTCATTGAACCCCATGTCAACCATGACTTAGAATATTGTTGCTTAATAGTCATTGTTATAGCTTGTGATGCAACCCGACATGGATGAAATCTTCAACATGGATGGACTAAACACTCCATAAAAACATGACAATCGTGGCTCTTCATCCCATGCATCCTTTCCATGTCTACATCAACACATCTTGCTAAGTTGGATGAATAACCAACAGGCATTTTAAGTTCCTTGATCCAATGACAAACTAACTTTGCTTTTAAGTTCCTTGATCCAATGACAAACTAACTTTGCTTCCTCTGCAGTTAAAGTATAATTTGCTTTTGGCTTTACCATCTGTAATTATACTCCAAACTTGCTCAATGTCAATGCACATGGCGGGACACCAGTTTCAATTTGCCCCTTTTTGAAAGCTTTTTTATTCCTTCTACATACATGATTTTTGGGCAAGAAACTACGGTATGAGTCAAACCAACTATTTTTCCTCCCATTCTGCAATGTAAAGGCCTTTGTATCCCCCATGCAATGCGACCTTGAGTCCCCCAACCTGACAACATACCATATGCAGGAAAATCATTAATAGTCCACATCAAACTAGCCCTCATTACAAAATTTTGCTTCCTTGAAATATCATATGTTTCAATTCCTCTCTATAATTGCATCAGATCATCTATCAAAGGTTGTAAATACACATCAATACATGACTTTGGATTACGTAAACTAGGAATGAGGCATGTCAAAAACATATAAGGTCTGGACATTCATATTTCAGGAGGAAGATTATATGGGATCATAATTACTGGCCAACAAGAATAGTGGTGGCAGATGCTTGAATATATGGATTAAAACCATCAGAACATAGACCTAGTCTTACATTGCGTGGTTCAGCAACAAAATCTGGATAAACTTGATCAAAATGCTTCCAACCTTTACCATAAGATGGATGACACAACACACCTTCTAGTCTTTTATTGTCATAGTGCCATGTCATTTGTCCAGCTATTTGCATGGATGCATACAACCTCTTTAACCTCAGAATTATAGGTAAATAGAACATGCTCTTAATCGGAATTGGTTTATTTTTACTAGTTTCAACTTTTGGGGCATGGCTTATGACAAAATTTGCATTGTAGTAAAGCTCCATCATTCTTCCCGTAATCATTGTCATAAAAAAGCATACAACCATTAACACAAAAATCAATCCTTTTAGCCTCAATCCCAACTTTAAAACTAACCTCTTCGCATCATACAAGGCATCCATAGTCAACCAATCAATCATTATTTAAAATTCAATATAGAAAAGTCAAAGGTAATTACTTACCTACTAACAAAGATCTTCAAATTGGATGAGCTGCCACTTCCTTCCCTTTATCCTTGTATCTTTTGTGAAGCTTCAATATCAACAATATCTGCATTTTGTTCTTACTTTTTGCATTTCTATGCATACCAATTTGTGACCTCCAATGACTTATTAAGCTGTAGTGGTGAAGGCGAATAATTAGGAACAAATATCTTATCATGTCCAAAAAGAATTTTCATTTAATGCAGATCTTTAGTTCTGATAGCAGAACTAAACCAAATGCACCATAACCCAGACCAAATGTATTAGAGAAATTAAGTAATATTAGCTGTTGCAATTAAGTACCTTACATTTACCAAATTTCAATGCACATTCCCAAATTCTAAGCACAAATAGAAAAAGGAAGAGTTTGTAGCTTTGGAAGTAAAAGCAATTTGAACTCCCCCAATTGACATTCAAACGTACATACACCAACTTTGCAAACTTAAATCTAAACATACAGTTTTCCCTCTAGCACATAAAAGTCAAGGAGCTCGCTACCTTATGAAGAACTAATGCAAAATTGCAAACATCTATCAGATAGATAAAACACCATATAAAACCACCAATAGAATCTATCACAAGCATACATTTCAACCATGTGTGCATCAAGAACTATTAGCATAGGATGAAATAAAACCATTACCGCCCCCAACGTTCTTGAGAGGAATCACCACCTTCTGCTGAGTATAAGCCACGAAAATGAAATTGAAACACCCTTCATCGTCAAACACATCCACCACAGTCAAACGGTGGCTGCACCTTCACGGTGGGTGCACGGAGGAGGAAATGGTGGCGCGACTTAGGGCTGGGTCGTAGTGGGTGCGAGCTAGGGAGAGGGGTTCGAGGAGGGCTTGGGTGAGGCAACCTTGGTCGTGGTGGCTCGCGACTGCAGCTAGGTGGCGCGAAGGTGAGGTAGTCGGCGAAGGCGTTTGAGGCCGCGATGGTAGGGGCGGTGGAGCTGCAATGGTTGATCGGGAGAGTGGAGGCGGCTGGGTGGTGGCTGCTGCCAGTGGCGCAGTGGCTGGGTGGTGGCCGCTGCTAACGGTGGTGGGTGCAGTGGTGAGTGGGCCGCAGGTGAGTTTAGAAGAAAGGGGAAAAGGCGTGGGAATGGGGAAAAATGGAGATGCGTTGAAGAAGAAGGAAGAAAGGGCTGCGGGTGAGTGAAGAAAAAAAGGGGAAAAGCGTGGGAATGGGGAAAAATAGAGATGCGTTGAAGAAGAAGGAAGAAAGGGCGCGGGTGAGTGAAGAAGAAAGGGCCGCGGGAGAGTGAAGAAGAACGGCGAAAAACTTTTTTTTTTTTAATTACACTTGCGTAGGTAAATAAGTAGGTAAAAAATCATTTTATTCGGAAGTAAATTTTATACATAATAGATAATTTATATATGAGTAGAATTTTGTAAATAATATCTATATGTTATATATATTTTATTTATATATTTTTATTCGTAATTAATATTTTGTAAATAATATCAATTTTTTTAATGTTTATGATAGGATAATTAATCATTGCACTTCACATTTATTTCTATAATTTACTGCATCACATTTATTTCTATAATTTAATGCACCTTTATAGTTTTTATTGTTACTTTAGAATTCAATTTTTCTTCTTTTATTTTCTTCTATTTAGAATTCATAGTTTCATGATTAGATTTATTGCTTTCATTAGTTATAATTTTAATATTTTCATTATTCTTTTTGCACTTTGTACTAATTTCTTTATTAGTGTTAAGATGATTGCTTTGATTTTATTTTCTATCTCTTATATTCTGCACAATTTTAATGCTTTTCTTTAGACTTAATTTACTATTTACATTAGATCATAGGTTTATTGCATTTTCATTATTGCTTTCACACCAAAACCAATAAAACCCCCTTTCTTAGCTCTTAATAATTGAAAATCAAGTCTATATCACATTGTTAATGTTCACGAGGAGAATGCGATCTAGAATTTCTTTAATATTATATTATATTGTCTTGTATTGTATTGTTTGATCACTTTTAGATGACAAGATGCACACTAATTATTGTAAAAGATCTTTAGGTTAGTTTGTCTTTTGGAAAGATGTGCCTAATGACTTTCAAACCAGTTAATCTTTACATATCTTAAACATGTCATTAAAATGTTTATTATTTTTCATGGTGAATCTCTCACATTGCCTTGTGAGACTAATAGTTTTCCTCAATAAAACACCTTTGTTCCCTCCATATTTGATGCATAAAGAATCTCATATCTATTTAGTTATATTCAATTTGCAAACTTCTTTAATGATTTGTCTTCTTTAAAAAAATGTTTGACTAATAAAATAAACAAGGACTACAAGAAATTTACATATTAGTTATGAAATATTCCTTAGTTATTTCGTAACTAATCCTTCACAAACATGTTTTGTGACTATTTAGTTACATATTAGCTAAGAAATAGTTAGTCACTACATTTGCGCAACTAAATTAGTGAGAGATGTATTTCCTCTCTATTTTGTAACAAATTTTGTCGTCAATCTGTCATTAAGTCCCTCAGTAAATAAGGTCATAAAGTTTCATACTTCTCTATCTAATTTGTTAAATAATTTTTTTTTGTTTTTGAAGTTATATTGTTGTAGTTTTTCATTACTAATTTGTAGTTCAACACTCACAGTTATGCTATTTGGTAACTAATTCCACACATTTAAGCTCTCACTAATCCATAACTAATCTCTCATCATTTTTCTCTCATTAATTAGTAGCTAATTAATTACAATTGTACTCTTGCTGATTGTAGTTAATCCCTTGTAATTTTATTTGTAACTAATATCTCACAAATATAATCTCACTATTTTGTAGATAATTCGTAGCAAATTGCCGCATGTAGACATGCTGTCTGATCGTGTCCAGGCTCTGTATCACTCCCTCTTGCCTCTGGCTTATGGTCTCCAGCCGCGTCTCGAAGACGTCCTACCTCAGGGACATCTGGTCTAACTATTGGCGAAAATCGTCCATGTGGTGGTGGACGCCGGGAAAGTCATCCCCATACTGCTGCTGCTGCTCAAACTCCGGGAGCATGGGGATCTCCTGCGACTCATCCAGATCCTGGATGTCCAGAGTCATGGCGAGCGCCGGGTGGAGGGTCAGTTGGGACCCTTGCCTGATGAGCATGTCCATGCTGATGAGTATGGTCTCGCTGATATGCTCGGGTCGGAGGATAGAGGGAATGTCCTCCCCGTTGGCGCATCCCCATCTCTCGGCTAGCGCGGTGATGAGGGGAGTGATTGATGTCGTACTTGGTCAAATAATTAAAACAGATAAATGTAGTACTAGGAAGCTTTCCTAGATCGTCTCCCAAAGACGACAAATTTCTATCAAAGCTTATCAATTTTTAAATTTAGAACAGTAATAAAAAAGGGAGTTTTTCAAAATTAAAATATTAGATGAAATAGAACAAAAGCAGATTATAAAAATGCGGATTAAAAACAGATTAAAATGCAATTGATTTTCTGATTCTAATGCAATGTCACTTATCCTAGATTACGAAATTAATTCGAAATTAACCAACTAAGCGAAGATAAATCCCAAATTATATTCTAATCCAAAATTAATCAACTAAGTGAAGATTAATCTCAAATTAGCTTTAACCTTTGTTCCAATATGAAATTAACCAACTAAGCGAAGATTAATCTCAATTTTTCCTTAACCCTTATTCCAACATGAAATTAACCAACTAAGCGAAGATTAACCACAAATTATCCTTATACAATTAAGCATTGCATACATCACATAATCTCATATCTAACACAGAATTAAGCAAACTGTGATATAAGTTTCGATTTATTAAACATAAACAGATTATAATTCAATACTGAGATTAGAAGATGAAGAGTTAAGAGAACAAACAAAATGAAATTGAAGAACAAAACCTCAAAGATCTACTTGCATTCTTCTCAGAAAATCAATACAAAGATTTAGCTATCCATGGAAAGTTGAAAACACAATAGAAGAAACATAATTAAAATCGAAACAAGAATTTAAAAATAATGACAGAAGAGTAAACAAACTTGAATATAAATTGCAGAAGATGAAAGGCGGCTGTGTGGTGGCTGCGAAGTCCTTGTGTGTTGTCTATCTCCCTATGTCTGATGTGCCTCTCTTATATAAATAACCCTAACCCTAATCTTTATTGAGGTTTGGGCTCAACTGGTCCATGAAACACATCATAAGTTGGTTTTAGTGCAGGTTCGTGAACTTCAAACACGTACAGTATTTTCAATACTTATCCAAATTAAGAGATTTATGTATCCTTTGAAAGCCTTTTGAGTTAGCTTTAAAACGCCACCATTGCTACTATTTTTGGAGGTCTAATGAATTTAGGAGACTTAAATTACTGAAGCATGTCCATTGGGCCGGCCTGGTGCACTTGACCCGTGTTGAATAATTTATGTAAAATCGAATTTATCTCCGAATTGAATGATTTTGGATTCTTTGTAAAGCTGAATATGTCTAGTTTAAAATGTTTTGAAAATAATGATTTTTGGAGATCTGTAGAAAAAATGATAAATAAAACAGTGAACCAATGTTAGTACCCGTATAGAATAAAATATGACATTTGACCCAATTTTCCAAGCCCAAAATTGCTTTAAACTGTAAAATGGCATCTAGCCCAATCTTCTAGGCCCAAAATTGTTTTAACTGTCCTAAAATTAATAATGAGAAAAAATTAGATCAAATAGATTTAAATTAATTAAAATCTAATTATTGGCCTAATGAAGCCCAATTAATAAAAATTCACTAATAATAGAAAGTTAAGCCCAAAACACTAATTAAAATAAGTTCAGAAAGGGAAGAAAATACGGGAATATAATGACTCATCAAATAACCCCACACTTAGCCTTTTGCACTCCTGGGCAAAATCAAGAAGCAAAACAAGGAAATAAATTCAAAAACATTAAAGAAAATTATGCAAAGGACAAAAACAAAAATAAAGACAAACAAAAACATAAACAGATATACATTTTCATCAATGAAACCTGGGAAACGAAAGGAGTAGGCAACATCCAACACACAAAGAGCCAGAGGAACCAGATACTCATGGAAATCATCCAAGCATTTCAAAACTTGGCAAGAGGTCAATCAGGTTAAAAGGTGAATCAAAGTGACAAAACCTCACAAGATGCACTATATCACTCATGTGTCTAGGCTACTGTATACTCTCAAAATACTCAAGAAAAGCAAACAACAGATAGACTTGGCAAGCCTCTAAACTCAACACCCAACGCACATGCATAAAAAGATCAAAAGGTCTTTTCAGGTTGTAATGGGGTAGGGACAAGGTAGAGGATATCATATGGGATAAGTAGTCGTGAACCGGAGGAACTAGAGGAGCAATGGGGAATAAGTAAAAAATAAGCACAAGATGCATGCCCAAAAACCTCTAATATCAAACTTCCACTACTGCCTTTACCTCAACCACAACTTTCCTTTCTTTTTTTCTTTTTTTTTATTTTCGCTTTTTATATATATATATATATATATATATATATATATATATATTTTAAACTACATGAAATACACTCGAAAGGAAAACACAAAAGCTGTACAGTAGAGATAACCAACTAGCCGAGTACATCATCCAATGAAATACAAAATGCACCCCCACACTTATTCAATAACTTATTCCCAAAACAATTCCAAAGCTCCAAAAATCCCTAAGGTTAAGGTAATCATGGTTTTTCACTTAAGGCTTTTAATGAGCTTCAAAAGAAATAAAGGGAAACATAGGCTCAAAGGGGCTATCAAAGGAATTAATTCAAGGTAGGCTCATTTGGCTAGAGGCTAATCAGAACAAAAATGCCTTAATCATCTCCAAACATGCATGTGAATCAAGAAGTATCAATCAGAGTCAAGCCAAGGCTACTGCGCAAGGAATCAAGAGGCATAACACTCAAGAAAGAACAGGTAGTGGCTCAAATCCTCACAAAGGGTAAGATTGTCGCCTTCAATTCAACCTCTCAAACATCGTAACCAACTTGACAAGCAGAGAAAAACAGGGATTTCAATCCAAAAAGCATAAAGCAACTCCTATCCCAAGAGTGAAGAAAGTGCCTACTACCTATACAAAACCTAGAAATCAAAGAAAAATATGCAAAATTGTACACAAAACATTGAATATAAACCTACAATCCTACATCTCCCACCCCACACTTAAATTAGACATTGTCCTCAATGTAAACACAATCATATCCACTAAACAAATAGGACAAGCAAGATAAAAGTGTTGAAGGGGAAAGAAGAACTCCCTAATCATGGTGGGTCCC